CGGTAAATCCAAACCCGGATGACAACAGTCGGAAGGGAATTAAATGGGTGAATATAAAGTTTAATGTTTATGAGACCTGTTCCCTTTTAAAGGAGTAGGATTTCCTATTAACATGTAAAGAGCGAGGCAGGGCCCAGCCCAGCTCTGGGGCCAGGTGCTCTGCCTGTCTCTACTGGAAGGTTCCGAGCAGGGCCCGGGGGACCCAGAGGAGGGCACCTGAGGCTGCCCCGGGGGCCCAGCTCACCCGTCCATCCTTGTACCAGCTGATGGCAGGCGGGGGCGCCGCCCAAGCACTCACACTCCAGGGTCAGGGTACTGTTGACCTTGGTCTTCACTTCCTTCACACCGACCTCCCCCATGGAGTCGTCTTTGGAGATGGAAGGGGGGACTGCAAATCGCAAAGAGGTCTGAGGAGCCGGCCTGGGGAGGGGGCGCACCCTGGGCCCAGGAATGGGGGGCTGGCTCCAGACAGTGGAGGAACAGGGGCCTGGAGATGGATCCACTCCTGGGGCCGTTTGCCTAGGGCGGGGGTGGGGAACATCTGTCCAGCGGGCCGGGCCGTGTAAGACCTCTGAAATCATTTGGCCTGGCCCTGCCCATCCGGGGGCTTAGACGTGTCAGATGGTGGTGAGAAAGGGGACAGGCAGCGGGTCAGAGCCCTCCTGCCAGGCTCAAAATTCAATCAATCTAGGAGCGTTAGGTGGCCAGTGGGGGGAAGTAGAGGACATACCTAATACTTTAAACAATAAAGAATTATTAAAGTAAAAAAAACTAGGAGCTTTCTTTATAGCAACATAAGTTTACATTAAGTGAATTATATTAAGCAAATGATGTTATAAATATCCACATGGCCATTGGCACGCTAGCCGGTTTGGCTCAGTGGATAGACCATCAGCCTGCAGACGGAAGGCACATGCCTGGGTTGTGGGCTCAATCCCCAGGAAGAGGCGTGCAGGAGGCAGCCCATCAGTGATTCTCTCTCATCATTGATGTTTCTATCTCTCTCCCTCCCCCTTCCTCTCTGAAATCAATAAAAATATATTAAAAAACCACAACCACCAAAAACAAAACATAAAACCAACACATGGCGCTTGGCAGAAAAAAGGTTCCCTACCCCTGCCTTAAAGGCAAGACCGTCAGCGATGGTTACCGGACAGGGCAGGTCGGAGGCAGGGGAATCCCTGGGGTGACGTCTGGGGGCCCCAGGTCTCAAGTTGTGGAGGCTCTGACTGCATCACGGCAGAAAGAAGCCAGGACTGGAGCGGGGGTGGGCATCCACGTGGCCCGAGTCCTAGCTCGCCATCCCCCCTCCGAGCGTCCTGGGCCCTAAAATGGGGAATGACCCAGCCGGCCCGCTGCCTGGCGACTATCAGAGCAGACAAGCCCAGGAAGGCGGCGGGGGTGTCAGGAATGGCCCCGGCGCCGGGGTCCCAGGGCCCCGAGCCACCTCCTGCTCCCACCAGTGCCCGGGGGGCCCGACTCACTGAGCACTTCCACGTGGTAGTTCTTCACGGCCTCCCCAAGCCCGTTGGTGACCACGCAGGTGTACTGGCCTGCGTCTTCCTTCTGGGCATTCAGGATCTGCAGCCCGTGGGTACCTGCTTGCGGAGCAGCGGCCAGGGGCACCTCAGGCCTGAGCTGGGCTTCACCAGCCCCGCCCTCTGACCCCTCGCTCCTCCCCCCAGGGCATCACCTGGGAGCAGCTGGATGTTGTTTGAGGCCTCAAACGGGGACCCGTCCTTCATCCAGGTGATGGTGGGGGCGGGGAAGGCCAGCGCCTCACAGATCAGAGAAATGGGGTTGTTGATGGTCACGGTCACCTCCTCGTCTGCTCCGTCCTCGGTCACCCCCAGGATGGAGGGAGCCACTGTGATGGGAGGCCAGGGGGGTGCTCGTGAACAGAGAGCCCGACCCTGGGCGCAAGGACCCAGGAAAGCCTCAGACCCGCGGTGCTCAGCCGCCGTGCTGCTGCTATTGTCATTGCGCAGGGGAAACTGAGGCTCGGTGGAGCCCAGGCCGGTGCGGCCAGAGTTGAATTCAGGCCTCGGTGACCCAGGTCCCCAGCTCTCCACCACTGAGCAATACCATAGGGCGGTGGTCGGCCAACTGCGGCCCCTTGAGTGTGGCTCTTCCGCAAAATACCACGTGCGGGTGCGAACGTACGGTGCGATTGAAACTTTGTGGCCACACTCAAGGGGCCAAAGAGCCGCATGTGGCTCTAGAGCCGCAGTTTGCTGACCACTGCCCTAGGGGAAGCTGGACAATTTCTGCCTCAACTTCCCCCACAGCCTCTTAGCATCCAGGGTATCTAGTAATTTAACCAGAGTCTCCGCAATTCTGTTTGTTTCCAATCTGTGCCACTCCCAGAGTGGAGGGTGGGGTAGGAGGTGGAGTGATGGTCCCTGCTGAGTTGATGCTCTCTGTTGTCACTGACCCTAAAATGTCCTCTTTCGGGCCCTGCAGGGACCATCCATTTGGCCACCAGCGCTTTTAGAAATGGATTTTACGAAACTAGCCCGTGCCCCTCTTGTTTTCAAATCCCCGTTTCTCCAGCCCAACAAAACAGCTGTTGCTGCATTGCCCTCGCCCTCGCCCTCGCCCTCGGGGGCGGACAGCCTGGAGGGAGCCTTGTCCTCTCTCTCAGCCACAGAGCTCCATCAGTGACATGGGGACAGGCGCGCTGCCCCCCTCCTGGGTTGCTGTGGAGATCCAGCCAGGAAGGCCTGTGCATATGCCTGGTCTCTAAGGGCTCAACCACTAGAGCCGCTGTTGTTGTTGTTTGTTGTTGAACATGGAGGGCTTTATGGGAAGCTGCCTATCAGGTCACCTGGTTCTGCCTCCTGCCAGCACCTGGAATGGCCAGCAGATGCCCAGCACTCACCCAGGACGCTCAGCTGGACATGCTTGGTCCTCTCCCCCGCGGCGTTGGCTGCAATGCAGGAGTAGTGGCCGGCACTGGACAGGTTGGCCTGGAGGACCTGCAGAAGGGCTCCGTCTGGAGAGACGTGCTGGGTGTCTCCACCAGCCAGGGGCCGGCCGTCTTTGAACCACGTGACCCTGGGCTGTGGGTGGCCTGTGTGGGGAGGAGAGAGGCAGGTAAGACAGTTCAGCAGGATTGGACCAGGTTGGAGCAGAGGTCGCTGCAGGAAGGGGGTGGTGGGGGACATGGGTTTTCCGTCCCAGTCCAGAGGCCCAGGCAGCCGGGCAAAACACAGAAGCAGCCACCACAGGCCTGGGCCTTTTCCTAAGGGGTTTGGACAGAGATGGCTGGTACGGACAGAAGACAAGATATTCCTTCCATCCATCCATTCATCCATCTAAACATACATATATACATATACCTATCCATCCACCAATTTGTCCACCTATCCACCTCTCCATCCATCCATCCATCCATCCATCCATCCATCCATCCACCTATCTATCCATCCATCCATCCATCCATCCATCCACCCACCTATCCATCCATCCATCCATCCATCCATCCATCCGTCCGTCCGTCCATCCCAGCTCAAAAGCATAACTAAGGCACTGGGGGAACCATGGTGACAAGGTAGACTGTGGGTCCTCAAGGAGCTCAGAGCCCAGCTGGGGTACACAGGTGTCACAAGGCCACCGTGGATCAGTGTGGTCAGTGCTGGGATGGGGAGCAGAGGGCTGGGATAGGCAGGCAAGATCCCCAGTACCCCCCTTTTCAAAGCTGCCTTCTCACCTTTCTCCCAGCCCGCCATGTGGCCGTGTGTGGCCTTACCTGTGGCGTTGCACGTCAGGTTGGCTGTCTGTCCCTCGGGGACCTTGACCACCTCCTCCAGGTCCTCATTCTCGATACTGGGAGGAACTGGGAGAGCGGGAGACAGCCGGTCACTGACTGGAGCTGGCTCGCTCGGGCTGAACCCCAGAGCAGAAAGCCTAGAGCATCTCTCTTCAGGCTCCTGGTTTCCCCATCCCCTCGTGCCTGCTTCCACAGGGCCGAGGGAGGACCAGTGCCCTGGGACAAGGCTCTGATCAGGGCAAGGTGGTGTTAGGAATATTTTCTCCTTTCCACGTTGGATTATAGTAGTCCCTGCTGCTTCTAGAAAGTTCCATGATGGCCTCAGAGTAGGAACTGCTCATGAGGAAACAAGCTTTGGCCTGCCCTCCTTCCTGAGTGGACCTCCTACTACAGCAAGAGCTCTTGGTCCTGGACCGCCCCCCGTAAGCTCCCCAGCCGGAGGAAAGGATGTATGGGCTACAAACACGGGGCTGTGACATACCCAGGACCTCCACGCTGAAGTTCCTCCGCACCTCCCCAGCCTCGTTGCTGGCCAGGCAGGAGTAGAGGCCTCTGTCTCGCTCCTGGGTCCGGGTCACCTTCAGCATCCAGCCACCTGCGGAGGGAGGAGAGAGGGCTCCGACTGCGGCTGTGAGCTGAGCCCAGGCTGACCACCAGGAAGAGGAGCGTGCCAGGCGTCTCCATCTGATGTGTCTGCCTACCCCAGTGTCCCATTCCTCAGGTGGGAAAACTGAGGCCCAGGAGGGTGAACAGATGGGTGGAGCCCCCTGGACATTAGACATGCGCAGGGTAAGCCCGAGGCCCCGTTTAAGAAGAAGGATCTGTCACCTGGCTACCCCCACTTCTGGAGACTGACCACGGCTAAAAGGACAGCCATGGGCCTGGCCCAGGTCAGACCGCCCTGCTACGCTGATGGACCCTGGAAAAGGCCGCCTTCTCCCAAGACCAGCCCAGGGAAGGCACAGGCGTGGGACACGTGAACACGGCTGTTCCTAAACCCAGGGCAGACATCGCTAATCGATCACCGCTCTCCTTTCTGCTGGGCCCTGATTCGGCCCCTGAGTCCACCTCATCGCAATGCATCTGGCAGCCCCACCAAGGGCTCAGAGGAGGTGCACAAGGGGAAGCTTACTGCCCTCCCAGCTTTGGAACAACCGGAACATCCCTGCAGGTCACTGAGGGTGGACTCCAGGGGGCCCTGAAGTCCTTATAAGCTTTGGATGGGACACTGCCTCCTGGACCTCAGTTTCCCCATTTGTGTGTCAGTAAGAAAGATCACAAACTAATTTTGTGAGGAGGACGAATATTCAGAGGCAGAGGTGCTTAGACCCTATGTCCGTTCGCCCACCTGTACTGTTGTATGGGATGTTATCTAAGTGCCATGAGAATTTTTGCTGCAGGACTTATCAGAACCTTGACTATAAATGGCCACTGTGAGTCTCTAGGAGGGGAGCAGAGCAGGAAGCCTTTCTAAACGTAGTCAAATCTAATGTGTTTCCTGGAGCACATCACCTGACCAGTGTTTTGGGATATACTCCTGGGGGACCAACAGCCGAAATGTTTATGCCACCCTGGCTGGCCGCTCAGGGTCAGAAGTCATGGGCATGTGCTGAGCAGAGGCAGAAGCGGAGGGCCAGGCCCGATCACCAGACAATCCCCTGGTCAGCACCTTACCCGCCAAGAGGTAGGTGTCCTCCCCGGGGCTGATGGGCTCCTCCCCTCGGAACCAGCGGACCCCCGGGGGTGGGATGCCTGTGGCTTCACAGAGCAGCGTCAAGGGGCTGTGCAAGGCGGCAGTGACGTTGGTCAGCGGGTCCGAGTCTCCGATGAGCTCTGGGGGCACTGGACACAGAGAAACAGCCTTATTCAGGATGCAGACAGGGCCGTGTGCTCCTTCCTCGACCCCCACGCACGGCCCTCCCCCAGGAGCCCCACCCCACTCAGGAGGGGCCGAAGGCTTCAAGAGCTGCTCCCACTGAAAGGGGTGAGTGGCGACCACAGGCGGGGGCTTTTGCGTCGAGAGAACCCTTTGGGTCCTCATTTTCTATCGACTCTAGAGCAGTGGTTCTCAACCTTCCTCATGCCGCGACCCTTTAACACAGTTCCTCATGTTGTGGTGACCCCCAATTTCATGGTTACAAATTGAACATAACTAAAGCATAGTGATTAATCACAAAAACAATATGTAATTATATATGTGTTTTCCGATGGTCTTAGGCGACCCCTGTGAAAGGGTCGTTCGACCCCCAAAGGGGTCGTGACCCACAGGTTGAGAACCGCTGGCCTAGAGGGATGCCAGGAGGATTCAACAAGAACACGTGTAAAGCTCTCGGCACAGTGCCTGGTACGGAGCCGATGCTGAGCAAACGAGACTGGCCGAGAGCAAAGGTGAACACAGATGCGTCCCCCAGATCCACGTGTCAGAGCTCCGTGGTGTCGAGAGCATCCACTCGCACAAGAAGCCCCGCTCTATCAGGCTGGGGTGAGCGGGTGGGGTGGGGTCCCAGCCGCACGGCCCATCTCTCCCATCTTCTCTCCTGCCCTAAGGCATACAGTAGGAGCTCAATAAAAGATGGAAACCACAAAGCTGTTCTAGCTACCCTGAACCTGCCACCCCTCCCGGCCTCTGCCTGGCACATTTCCCCCCTCACCCTGGCACCTGGTTAACTCCCACCCTGCTTTTACATTTCAGCTGAAAGGCCACCTCCTACAGGAGGCTGCCCTGACTTCCCACGACAGCGTTCAGGCCCCCGAATTCCCCTATCACCTGTAAGTCATGCAGGAGAGAGTAGCTCATTTCCACAGTGCCCAGAACAGAGTAGGGGGACAGACAGGAAGGGAGGGAAAAGTGGGGGGAGACTAGGGCCATTTGAAGCCAGTCCTGATTTGGGAGCAGTGCTGAAGGCTTCCTCCAACAGACCTCACCAGAGGCCTGCTTCTTGGGAGAATGAGGCGTGACCCGGCCTTGCCTTCTCCAGTCTGGGCCCCCTTCCTGCCCGCCTCCGGCCGCCCCCGGTCCTCACCCAGCACGGACAGCGCAAACCTCCTCTCGGCCCTCCCAGCCACGTTCTCGGCCAGGCAGCTGTAGCGTCCCGCGTGGGCAGCCTGTGCCCGCTCCACGTGCAGGCTCTGACCCTGGTTCTGCAGCCGCAGGCCAGGTGCGGCTCCCACCGGCTGGCCGTCCCGCTGCCACGTCACCCTGGGTGGGGGTTTCCCCGTGACGCTGCATTCCAGAGTGGCCTCCGCGTCCTGGACCACAGAGACCTGTGCAGGGGGCTCCCGGGGGCCAGCGATCTGCGGGGGAACTGGGGTGGGGAGAAAGTCGCTGTGGCCGCTGGACAGCAAGCACTCACATCAGGCCCCAAGCTGGCCTACGTTCCCCACGGCCACTCCCTGGCCGTGTGACCTTGGTCAGGTGACCTCATCTCTCTGGGCCTCCATGTTCCATCCTTATAATGGGGCCATACGGTGCTCCACTCCTGCCTCTGTCTAACCTGGGGTCCCGGGGAGGGGCCTGCTGTTTGGAAAACAAGCTCTCAGCACAGCCCGGAAGAGCTGCGGGAGGGTTCCTTCCTCAGAAACCAGGCCTTCTCGGAGTTCAGACAGTCGCGGGGGGCCGGCCAGGGCAGGGTTACTCTCTCCAAAATGCTTTTCATTGGGGGGGGGGGGTGGCGTGGATAAGGACACATTTGTAATATCTTAATCAATAAAGGGGGAAAAATGTAAAAAAGAAGTGTTTTCTGGTGATATAGATTAAAACGGAAATTGATCTACTAAAAAAAAATGCTTTTCTTGGTCTTATTTCCTAGGCTGAGATATTTCATCTCATCACTGCAGGACGAGTAGCCAGGACTTAGGTTTCCCTTATGCACGGGAGCTTCATAGAAATTCTACATTCCTTTCCGCTTCTGTTCCAAGTTGTGTTTTTCCCTCTGGGCCACTGGGGGCTCTTGGGGTCACGTTGCCGCTCTCAGGCTTAGGCCCGGAGCTGCAGGAAGCTGGCTGGGAGGGCGGTTAGGGAGATGCCCGGAATCTAAGAGGCCAGGGAGTGCTCTCATTATCGCTGTTCCTGTCTCGGCTTGGATCCCGGGGGTGGGGTCTCCCCTGCCTGCCACCCTCTGGCCCCTTCTGCCTGGCTCAGGTCACCCCGGCCCGGCTCACCATGCACCTCCAGCTGCTGGTCCTGGCTGCTGTTTCCGGCCACGTTGCTGCACTCACAGGTGTACGTTCCCTCCTGGGCCGGCTGGGCTGGGCCCAGGTACAGCAGCCGCCCCACCGCCGACACCTGTCCGAGGCCGGCCCCCTCCCCGGGCACGGGCTGACCTGGGTGCAGCAAGAAAAAGCCCCTGGTTCCCGGTCCTTCCACCAGTAACACTTGTCCCCCCTCCCCCCACCGTCCCGGCCAACTCCGGCAGGAGGAGGCTGTCCCTGCCCTCGATGGGTACCCCACCCCAGAGCCCAGCGGAGATGGAGGTGGGTGGACCTTCAGCCCCAGGGGTGGGGGTCCTGGTTACAGAAATGACACTCAGTCCCATTCTGCTCGGTCCCCAAGTCCGCTGGGCACCCCAGCCCCTTCCCAGCCAGCAACCCTACCGTCCTTCCTCCAGGTGATCTTGGGGAAAGGGACACCCCGACATTCGCAGGACAGCCTGGTGGGGTGTCCCTCGGTCACGGTCAGGATGTGGGGCTCCCTTGAGGGGAACACTGGAGGGACTAAGAGAAGAGAGGGTGTGAGGGGCTGGGGAGCTGGGAGGGGAGCGGGCTGCACCCTGGGACCCAGTCAAGGCAGCAGTCCCCCAGGGCATGCGAGCTGGCCGCGCAGGGGCAGGGCAGGGGGGACCGCAGCCCAGCCCACGAGACCCTCACCCCAGACGTTGAGGTTGTAGTGTTTCTCCGAGCGGCCCGCCTGGTTCAGCGCCTCACAGGTGTAGCGGCCTGCGTCCCTCACCTCCGCCCTGTCCACCTGCCGACAGCGACGGGAGCCATCAGCAGGGGCAGCACACAGATAGGTGCCCGAGGCGGACTGTGTGACTGTGGGCAAGTCCCTTTACCTCGCTGTGCCCAACCTCCCCACCTGGAACCTGGCACCTCCCGCACCACGAAGTTTCCAGAAGCCGCTGCCTGCGGTGGCCTCCTGTGGGTCAGGCGCATGGACTGGGCTCCCCAAGTGGCATCCCTGCCAGCCACATCCGCAGCCCAGCCCATGTTTGACAGAACAGCCCAGAGGAGAAGGTGGAGGTTGAAGAAGGGTGGAGTGGGGGGGGGGACCCTGTCCTCATGGTGGTGACGGCTGCGGCTCTGAAGAATGAAGGGCAGGAGAGGCAGGCATTCCAGACAGAGCAAACCACAGGAGGTGCTCAGAGTCGGGGATGATCATATCACAAGGTGTAGGGGGGTGGGAGGAGGAGCAGGCTGGAGTGGAAGGTTCTCCCAACAGCAGGAGAGGCACCGCCGCTCCCCGAGCTGAGGTGGATGAGCTGTGCTCTGGGGCAGGGTGGGGCCTCAGGGGCCTGCCTCTGGGGACCCTCCCAGCTCCCAGGAGAGAGGCACCAGTGTGTTTGCAGGTGAGAGACCCGCGGCCAGGGTGTCAGGACGCCAGGGGGGAGGCGCAGCCGGAGGAGGCAGAGCTCAAGTTTCAATCCAGGCTGACTCCGGAGTCCCGACCCCACACCCCCCTGCCTTGCTGGGCCAGATGCCCATACAAGGGCTTAAAGGCCCAAAGGCAAGGAGGCTTTTGAACAAAGAGTGAAAAACAGGTAGAAAGAGAGCTGCCGGCTTCGTGGGGGGCTGAGGGGCCCGAAGGCTCAGTCCTGGGCCTTCGCTCTCAGTCCCCGTTCGGCTGGAAGCAGCTCCGACAGGTCGGGAGGCTGCGCCCTGGGTGTTGGGTCTGGAGGGGCCTGCAGGGCCCACGCAGCTGAACTGACGGCGCAGGACACCCAGGGGCCCGCCCTGCGCGGGCTCCGCTCACACACCTCCAGCAAGGCCTTGTCTGCAGAGAGGCGGGCTCCGGGCCGCGGCTCCAGGGGGCGGCCGTCCTTCCGCCAGCTCAGCACCGGAGGGGGCACGGCGTGGCTCTGGCACTCCAGGGCCACTGACTCGTTGGCCACGACGGACACGTTCAGCTCTTCCCCGAGGATGCTGGGCGGCACTGGGGAGGGGGCGGAGGGCGCTATCTCAGCAGGTGGGGGGCCAGCAGGATGGAGCCAACACCCTGAGCCGCAGCCCTCTCATCCCCCCCTCGACGACCTCCTGCGCCGGCCTCAAAAGGAGGCCCAAGGCCCCAGGTCCGAGGGGGTCGGTGGGTTGTAACAGCGGCAACCTCCCGACTGACGGCACTTCAGGACAAGACGTTACCTCCGAGGGACAGTGGGGGACGGGACTCGGGATTTCTCTGTATTATTTCTTGCAACTCACGTGAATCTACAATGATCTCAAACTCTTTTTAAAATTTACAGTATTTTAATTTTTTTAAATGTGTTTTCAGAAGCAGGACCCCAGCCACCTTTCTCCTGAGACATAAACAACCCTGCAGAGGAGGGTCAAGAAGGCAGGGTCGGGAGTCAGAGGCCCTGGCTGGAGTCCTGTGACCTGACACTTGGTCACTGTGTGATCGTGAGGGTAGCCACCGGGTGGGGCCACCGGAGGTTAACTGCAATGACACAGGTCGCTGAGCACACGGTGCCTGCTATTATCCGGACGCCAGCGACAGGAAGAGCTGGAATGGAACGCTCCCCCCCACCCCTACCCCAGGCTCTACATTTCCCAGAGTTCCCTTGTGCACCTCCAGAGACCCCACAGGATCCCATACGAGGACATTTTAAAACCAGAGCAACTGTCACTGTGTTCTCTGAGTGTGGTGAACCCCGCGGCACCTTGGAAGTGGGTGCCATCTTCACCCCTTTCCCAGAGGAAGACACGGAGGCTCAGAGAAGCGCAGTGACTAGCCCAAGGTCACGGCCACAGGAAGTGGCGGAGGCAGGATTTGAACCCCAGATCCATGCACTCCAGAGCCGGTCCCTAACCACCACCCCACATCACCTTGTCCAAATGCACTGTCACCGCACTTGACCCAGGAGAGTGAAAACGTCCGGTTCCTGACTCTTGGCCGTGTGCACCTCCTGCCACTTCGTGCCCCTTCTACCTCTTCCCTGAATTTGGGTCACCTGGTCGAGCGGAGCCACCCCCCTGCCCCCCATCCATAATAGGGGAGCTCTCACTCCAACTGACCCCCACAGGAAGACAGCCACTGTCTCAGGCGGCATGTCTCCCACCCAACCACCCTTCCTTTGAACGTGACCAGACACCCCCCAGCCCCACGTCCTTGAGCCGCAGCCTCTGGGGCCTGACACTCACCGTGGACGTGCAGGGCGACGTCCCGGCGGTCCTCGCCCACGGCGCTCACAGCCACGCAGGAGTAGGTGCCAGAGTCGGAGGCCCGGGCACTGGCCAGCGTGAGGGTGCGGCCCCCGGGAAAGACCTGCCCCCCAGAAGGAAGCCCACGTGAGGTCATGCACCCCAAGGCCAGCTCCCACACCTCCCAAGCTGGCCCTGCTGCACGGCACGCCGCCTCGGCACCCCCGCCGGCCGCCGGGCGATCACATGGGTCCTTTAAAAGGGCCCCCTGTAGTGTGCCCCGCCAGCACGGCCAGGGGTGAACCTGAGTGGGGGCGGCTGAAAGGCTTAGAAAAGACAGACAAGAGAATGAAAGCCGGGTCTCGGTGGGACGCTGCTTCTCTGAGAGACAGCGACCACGCCCACAGCCCCGTCTTTATTTTATAGCAGATGCCACGAGGCAAAGTAAGGGCGTGGTCAAGATGTTTACAACATTCTCCTGGGTTTCCATCCTACTCAACTACATGCACCTGAACTCTACCAAGCCCACATCACTCAGGCATGTGGGGCCACGTGTTCGGACCATAGGTTCACGCTCACAACTACAGCTGTTGGCTATAATTGTGCTGGGAGGGCCCTGCCCTCCAACCTGGGACTTGCACGTGGCCATGAGAGGACTGTGCCCTCTCCTCAGTCCAAGGCTTGAACCTGTCCAAACACTGTAGCGGCTCCCCACGCAGTAGCTTTGCTGTGGCTCGTGAGCCCTTGGGTGGGGGCCGGCACACGTAGGATACACAGGGGGTTGCAGAGTTAGTACGAAAAGAATGCAAAACGTCTCGTTAATCAATTTCCATATTGATATTGATGAAATGATGCTTTTTGGATATACTGGGTTAACCAAAATGTCTATTAAAATGCTTTCACCTGTTTCTTCTTACTCATTTCCTGCAGCTACTGGGCATTCTAACTCACACGCTTGTGGGGGCTTGTTTCTGGAGACTATGCTT